CGGGGAGGTACCAGCAGCCGTGTGAAGAATGAGAACTCCTGCGTGGACCCATGGGGACAGCTGGCAGATATCCAGCACTTTCCCACAGAAACCTAGTGGATATACAGATGTACATTATACGACTGTAAACTTCTTTTCTTCAAGACCGGAGTCCCTGTGTAACCCTGGCTGTCCTGAAACTCTGTAGACCAGGCTGGCCTCGAACTCAGAGTTCCACCTGCCTCTGCCTCCCAAATGCTGGGATTAAAGGCGTGCGTCACCACTACCTGGCAAAAAAAGTCATCTTAAAAAAAATTAAAACAGCCCGGCATTGGTGGCACAAGCCTTTAATGCCAGCACTCAGGAGGCAGAGGCAGACAGATCTCTGTAAGTTCGAGGCCAGACTGGTCTCCAGAGCGAGTGCCAGGATAGGCTCCAAAGCTACACAGAGAAACCCTGTCTCGAAAAAAAAACAAAAACAAACAACAACAACAACAAAAAGCCAAGCCAGGTGGTGGTGGCACACACCTTTAATCTTAACACTCAGGAAACAGAGGCAGATGGAACACTTAAGTTTAAGGACAGCCCTGCCTACAGAGTGAGTTCCAGGACAGCCAGGTCACAAAAAGAAACCCTGTATCAATAAATAAATAGATAGATAGATGGTGATAGATAGATAGTGATACATACACAAATAAATAGACTGTAAACTCCTAAACAATTTGGTTTCATATTTGACTTTGAAATGGACAATCCAAATAGCCTTCTAGAAAGTACACCAAAGCGTTATTCTCTTAGTCATAAATGAGTTAAGTAAAACATTGTTTTCTCAATGTGTCAAAATTGTCACTTCTAGAGCTGGAGAGATGACTCAGCTGCTCTTGCAGAGGACCCAGGTTCAAGTTCCCAGGACCCACATGGTGATGGCTCACAATTGTTGTAACTCCAGTTCTAGGGGATCTGACACCAACTTCTGGTCTCTTGTTAGCCGAAGTGGTGGCACACACCTGTAAACCCAGTCAGTCTCCTGCATGCGTATGGTACGCATACATGCACTCAGGAACACACACACACACACACACACACTCACACACACACACACACACACATACACACACACACACACACAGAGAGAAATTACATTAACTCTTAATTTAAAAAAGTTGTTACTTCTAACCGGGTTTTGGTGGCGCACTCCTTTAATCCCAGCACTCAGGAGGCAGAGGCAGGTGGATCTCTGTGAGTTCGAGGCCAGCCTGGTCTCCAGAGCAAGTTCCAGGACAGCCTCCAAAGATACACAGAGAAACCCTGTCTCAAAAAACCAGAAAAAAATCAAAAGTTGTCACTTCTAATAGTATAACTTTCCCTAGCCTCTGACCTGCAAGATAAAAAAAATTGAAAGATTAAATTAGAAAAAAACACAACTCTTTAATCCAACAGGTTGAAAACTGGTTATGTTTGTATAAAACTTTCCTCCTTGACTGTCAAGTATAGGGTCTGGAATAATTTTCTATCATTTAATTTTACTGGCACCTTGTAAGGAATAGACACTCACTAAATTACAGATACCTGACTTAATTCGCAGAGAGCCCAGTAGATTGAGAGTCAAAAGCCAAGACTTCAGCCCATTTTCTAGCATTAGACTGA